TAGTAGACCGGTCCCTGGACAAATCTGTCTTCCTTGACGAGTGTTGCACTGACTGCAGTATGTGACACGGCTAGATAGAGAAAAAGGGATTCACTCGTAATGGCTTGAGAAAGTAGGGGGGTTAGCCATGCATTGTTTCAACTGTTGAAAGGCCTCTTTAGATTCTGTCGTCCACTCAAAAGTTTGCCGAAGGACTTTGAAGAAGGGGAAGCACTTGTCCGTTGCTCGGGAAATGAAGCGGTTGAAGGCGGCCACTCGGCCGGTAAGCCTCTGAACCTTCTTGACTGTTCTGAGTGACTGCATTTCGATTAGGGCCTTGATCTTTTCGGGGTTAGCCTCGATGCCCCGCTGACTGACCATGAACCCCAAAAACCTCCCAAATCCTACGCCGAAGGCACATTTTTCCTGATTGAGCTTCATCTGGTACTTTCGTAGGGTTTCACGTAGGTCGACCAGATGATCGGTGGAGAGCTTGCTCTTGACCAGCATGTCATCGACATATACTTCCATGTTCCGGCCTATCTGATGATAGAAGACGACATTGATCAACCGTTGTTAAGTGGCCCCAGCATTCTTTAACCCAAATGGCATCACACGGTAATGGCAGGTGCCTCGGTCGGTGATGAAGGAAGTGTGCTCCTGGTCCGATGGGTGCATCAAGATTTGGTTGTATCCAGAGAAGGCATCCATGAAACTGAGCATTTGATGACTGGCTGTGGCGTCGACCAGCAAATCTATGCGAGGGAGAGGGTAGCTGTCCTTGGGGCAAGCTCGGTTAAGATCGGAGTAGTCGACACAGAGTCGCCATTTACCATTTACCATTGTTTTTACGAACCAGAACCACATTCGACAGCCATCTGGGGTAGTCCACATTAGTGATAAACTGTGCCTTAAGGAGTTTGTCTACTTTAGAAGCAATAAGATTATTGCGTTCTGGGTGAAAAATGCGTTGCTTCTGGCGGATAGGTCAGAAATGGGGCTCAACACTGAGACGGTGGCTGATGAAGGAGGGATCAATACTCGGCATATCGGAGTGAGTCCAGGCAAACACGTCGTTGTGCTCAATCAGGAGGGCGGTGAGGTCGGTCTTGGCCTGGGGGACAGTTGGCTTCCAATCTTGACAGTTTTTGCCAGGTTGGTGGGGTCGATGGAGACCTCGATAAGCTCTTCCACTAGTTCCTCCCTGACCAGTTCATCCTCGTCTCTGACGTCAAGTCCTTCAATGATCATGGTTTCCTTAAGCTTAACTTCTTTAAGTGAGGCAACATAGCATTCTCTGGCTACAGTCTACTCTCCCCTGACTGTGCCGATCCCCAGATCGGTGGGGAACTTGACGGCAAGATGGAAGGTGGAGGTGATGGCTTGGAAGACGTTTAAGGCGGTGCGGCCAAAGATGATGTTGTAAGCAGAGGGGCAGTCGACAACGAGGAAGGTGAGCAGCTTTGTGGTCTGCCTGGGGTACTCGACAATTGTGATAGGAAGATCGATGGAGCCGATGGGGGTCACCCAGTCGCCAGTGAAACCGACCAAAGGGGTTTGGAGGGGAGACAGACTTTTTTTCCTGATCTTGAGCTGGCGGAAGCAATTAAGGAAGATGATGTCTGAAGAACTACCGTTGTCGACGAGAACCCGTCTGACCTTGTAATTAGAGAGGAGAGCGGAAATGACGAGAGGGTCGTTATGAAGATAACGGATGCCTGTGCAGTCGGTGTCCGTAAAGGCGATAGGCTCGATCCACTGCCTGGGGTGTTTGGAGGGTCGGTCCAATGTGGCAACTTCTTTGTCTGAGCCTTGCCTTATTTTCCTGAGTTCTGCCCGTTAAGCCGAGCGGGATGGTCCTCCGCACGCAAGCCCACCGGAAATAACTCTGATTTCTCCAACAGGTGGGGCGGGATTACCTTGTGCCCGAGGTTGCTGTGGGGGGCAATCATGGCCTTGGTTAGGTTAGGCTGGCTGCCGGGGAAGGGTGCGTCGGCGGTTGTTTCTGATAGGCTCAGTCCTTTGCCTCTGCTGAGGACGGGTATCTGTGAACCGGCTAAGACGTCCCTGACGTATTAAGGTCTCGACCTGATCTTTGAGGTTAACACAGTCATCGGTATTATGGCCGTGGTCTTGGTAAAAATGGCAATATTTGGATTGGTCTTTCCGATTGAAGGGGGTTCGTGATGGTTGGGGCCATTTGAGGGGGTAATCTCGCTGGATCTGATTGAGGACTTGTTCCATGGGGGAATTAAGAGGTGTGTACCGCTCGAACCGACTGGGCGGTCGGGCTAGTGTCGACCAGTTGGCTCGGGGGGGGCGGTCAGTATAATGCGGTGTTTGGTTATTGTACTGAGTGGTTCTGGCTTCTGAATCTTTTCGCTTTTCTCGGGAGGTCGGGTTTTTTATTGTAGGGTCTTAGCGAGCGACTAGGGAATCTTCTGCGTTCATGTATTTTTGGGCTTTGGAGAGTAGGGCTGCCATGGAGGTCGAGGGACTTTTTGAGAGGGAGAAAAAGAAATCAGATGACCGTAGGCCGGCCATGAAAGCCGTAAGGATGACCTTGTCATCGTTTTCCACTACCTACAAAGCTTCGGTGTTGAAGCGGGTAACGAAACTGCGCAGCGACTCTCCTTCGGTCTGACGGATATTGAGGAGTTGGGTTGCTGGGCGTCGCTAGCGTTGGGCCCCTATGAAATGGCTGAGGAAGGAGTAGCTGAGGTGCCGAAAAGTGGAGATGGAGTCTGCTGGGAGTTAACTAAACCAAAGTCGAGCCGACCCCTTGAGTGTTACAGGGAAAGCCCGACACATGATTTCGTCGGGGAATGCATGGAGGATCATGAGGGTTCTGTAGGTCTCCAAGTGATCGACTGGGTCTATTGTACCGTCGAAAGAGTCGATGGTGGGCATTTTGAACTTAGGAATGAGAGGTTTGTCTCTGATAGAGGCAACAAACGGGGAGTTGGCTGTGGTAGATGGTTTATGTTGTATGTTCTACATGACCCCTTGGAGTTGGAGCTTCATGGCTTGGAGTTCCGTGTCCCAGAGAGGGATATTATCACCACCGGAGGGCAACGGGTGCTGGACGCTGCTAGCCTCTCCTTCAGGGATTGGTGCCGGGATCGATGGTTGTGGGTCCCGGGGTGGCAGGTTTATACCTGGGGGAGGGGATTGCAAGCTTTCCCAGTTGGGGGGATTAGGCTGCGGGATAGTATGGCCTGGGGCTCGTTCTTGGTTGGGGGGAATATCCGGAGGTGGTGGAGGGGGCACAGGAAAGTTTCTTTGGAGTAGAGCATTAATCAGGGCTTGGTTTTGCTCGGCCATGCGGTTAATGCTGTTGGTAAGCTCGATGAAATATTGTGGTGGGTTGTTTGGATTGGGGGGGTCAGTCTGATGGTCGGCAGCATTATGGTGAGAAGCCATGGATCTAGCCGTGACCATACACTTTGATGGGTAGTAGGAAAGGGTTATTGGGACAGGGTCTCCGGCGACAATAAGCACAACTGGCGCGCGGAGCAAAGCTTTCCCACAGACGGCGCCAACTGATGATGCAATTCGCGATGGTAGAACGGGTCGGACTGATCCACACTCCTCAAGCCTACGTCCGAATGACCAAGTCCGCAGGGGAACCTGCACAAAAGTCCAATGGGGAACAGGGAGTCCCCCAGCGAACCCTCCGACGAGCAAGTTAAAGAGAGAGAGGTGGAATATAGAGATGGAATAGAGATAGAAAAGCTTAACCTTCTTCTTGTCTTCAACGTCTGCTTGTATCATCTGGTAATCATTTCGTTATCCTTTTCGACCTGTCACCTTGGCCGAAAGCCTATGCTGTAGCTTACCTTGTTCAGGGTGAGGGCGTGCTGTCCCGACGGAGAGGGGTTATCGCAATAAATGCTGTAAAGGGCCTCATTAATGGCGATGTGCCGTGGCAATAACTTTGCAGATCTTTGTCTGCTGATGTGGCTTGCCCTTCTCTCGCCACGTGTCTTGATGTCATTGGTTCTTATTGTTATGTGGGACTTTAACAGTACTGGATTTTAGTATTTAAAATATGTATTGAACCCTAAACAGTAGATCATAATCTTTATGAATTTACCACGTCAACAATAATATTACAATGAACAAATTTGTATACTATATAAAATGTTTATTACAGCGGGTATCAGCATTGCATTGGTAATAAACGGTGAGACTCCCTAAATCAATGCAATTATTATGTTGTACAAATATAATCATTGTAAGGTCATTGACAACACAAAGGCAACTATATAACCCTTCATTATTTTAAGGTAAAGTCTGGGATTCAGTTTTATCCGGGATTTTTTAAGTTGGTGTTTGTATGATAGAGATTAAATATGTGTAATGTGTCACAAGATAATAATTTTAGATAATTTTTAAATAGTTAAATATGAATTTATAATATTACTGTTATTTTAACATATTAATAATGGAATATGGTTCCCTCCGGTTGAGGTAATTAAGGACCCATCTTGAGCACGCTGAAGTGATTTGAATAGTTAATATTGTAGTTGTTAAATAGATTATTTATGCCAAAAAATTAAATTGATGGTATAGTAGTAGTTGAATGTTTTGATTATATTTGTGTCAAAAAAAAAAAAAAAAGTTAATATGATTTTGAGAACGAATCATCCATTTTCTTATAAGAGAGCTGCTATATATATTATTTTTTGGGTCCCGTTAGTTGACGGTAAAATTAATCTCTCCTAAATTAGTCGAAGTGCGCATAAACTGACTTAAACATTCTTAATTATCAAAATATATATATATATATATATTATTTTTTGTTTACTGTTTTATATCACCTAATTACATGATAATATATTATTGTTTTCATTAATTGTTTAATAATTATCTCAAAATAAGAGAACTAGTAACAAATAGGTTGATATTTTTTATGTAAAAGGTGATGTATCAAACCATTAAGGTGATATTTTTTGATAAAATTTCTAGATACATTAGTATTAATGAAAATTTAAACTAGTAATCCATGAAATCACACGCACTAACAAACCATCACTTTGTATTTACTAAAACACACATTTTAAACAAAAGAAAAGCATCATGTTCACTCAACCTCAGTTGCAAGAGATCATGCATGTAATAAAAAACTTCAAAAACTAAACCAGTTTTTCCCTTCATTTTTTCAACAAACTCATCATCATCATGAAATAACATTCCTCACATGACAGAACAAGCATTAGGGTTATCATCACTGAAGAGATAAGTAAATCTCTCCTCTGGGGGGTTGATTCCGGCCGGCACGGCTTGAGCAACGTTTCGAACATAGCCAGAAGGTGCCTTCTTGTCATAGGCTTGAGAGACATAAGGATAATAAACTAAGTTGTATGGGATGTATGGCCAGAACTCAGCTCTCTTTCCTGTGCTCTTTACTTTCTTTAAGACCTTGTTCGGATCAACATAACCACTCACTGTCACCCTGCTTTGCTTTCGGATTACCTCCACAGTTTTCACACCTAAAACAATTGTGAGAGAGAGAGAGACAGAGAGACAGAGAGAGGAACAGTGTCATGATAATATTAATATGAGAAAAACATTTGTTTATGAATCTGGTTTTAAGCTATGAATCCGGGTCCTTCGAAAAATATGTGGTATGGGTATTTACTGGTGTAGAGTATTTTTTTCCTACAGGTACACAAAATACGTATTTTTATTTTTTTTATCTTAATTTTGACATACCCAAACGTACTTAATATATACCCAAGCCGTACGGTACTTTAGTGGAAACAATATTTTCTTTTACTACATAGATAAAATTTTTTTCACTAGACTCTTTTTTTATTTTAAATTTATACTGTATGATTTTAAAATTTATAAGTTATCTAATATAATGATATTTAATTTTGATTTATACCTTTACTTTTATCATTAAATATTAATTGTAGATTGGATCTTAACAATTTAAATCATTTAATCAAATTTTTTATGACTCCAAATTAAAAATAAATATTTTTTTTACAAACGTACCAAGCTGTGATCATACCCTAGTTTTTTGGAATTTTATCGTATCGACGAATCAATATCGCTACTCGTATCCGTACCCCATGCTTCATAAGTTTTGAGGTTAATGACATTTAATTAAAAAATTTATACAAAATGATATGGTTGGATGTCAACTTTCAACTTAAAGGATAAAACTTATCAAGATGCGTTTATTTATAAAAGCGATATATTGACACATTATTTTCGTAAAAATTGTATATGAATTTGATATATAAATAGAGATTCATGCTTTTTTATATACATGATACTATTGAGTTTTTGTTCTTTTAATATAGATACATCCCAATATATTAGTCAGAATAAAAATTACACGCATGTTGGTCAATTCCTGTATTAATTTATAATCAATTCATAGTTTATATGACCGGTTTGATTGCTATAGTTTTTGTTTTCTGTTTTTTATTTTTTTTATTTATTTATTTTTTGATGATTTTTTTTTTTTAAAAAAAAAGTGTCATTCAATTCTAATATTGTCCTCAAATTTATGGTTATCTATGATAGTACAACTTACGGGACTGACTATTAAAATTGGTACTTCTAATTTTTATTTTTTAATTATTAACTTTGAACTTGTAAAAAAACTAAACAACCCCATCGTACGCAACTGATTATTAAGAAATACAAAAATTGATACTTTTAATTTTTATTTTTTGATTATGTATCTGTAAAAAAAATCAACAATAATGATAGAAAATTTTAATTTTAAAGTTTTAAAGAAAACTTCAGTAATATGACAAGAAAAAAAATAAATATATAAACACACACATCATAACACATATAAGCCTCACTCCTTACATACCTCCTTACATACCGCTAAACCTTTCTTTAAAATTTTAAAATTAAACCTTTCAGTCTTTATTTAAAAATCAAACAACCCCATCGTGGGCAACTGATATGGGATGTAACATGTTTCTGAAAGTTTACAAGAAAACATCATTAATGAGAGAGAGAGAGTGAGAGAACATATATGAACCTTTCATAGAGGTGACAGCATTTTTAACTCTTCTTTCGCAGCCATCACAGTCCATCTTCACTTTGATCTCAACTGTCTGAGAAAGAAAACACAACAATCTATGAAAAAAACAAAGAGTGACAGAAAAGAAGTACATAAACCAGCTAGATAGAGAGGGAGAGAGAGTGTGTGTTCTTTAAAGATTATACACAAATCAAAACTAGCTAGTTTCCAGGAGCTATAGCTAATGAGCACCTGCATTGGTTTGCGTTTGCTTCTTCTCCTTGTGCTGGTGACAGTGCAAAAGTTAGAGAGATAGTCAAGAGCCCCCATTGCAAAGCAAAGTAGAGAGAGAGAGAGAGAGAGAGAGAGAGAGGGTTTTACATTACATGATCAACATCGCAAGAGTTGAGACTTATATAAGGAATTTGTGGGACTCAAAAGAGATGTGTGTACTAGCTGTTTTTAGCCCACAAACAGTGTTAAAGTGGGGCTTGAAATCATGACAGACCAACTATGCTTTTGGAAATCACTATCCTATAAGCTAATAAGAAAATGTTCTGTAAAAGTACTTTTATGTTTGCTTTCATTTTCTTTCAAAGGGTGTGTGGTTTTTGCTTTTTCCATTATTCATTTAAAAAAATGATCTTACTGACAAGTGTGTTAAGATATAAATAAAAGACAAAAAAATTTAAAGAATACAAGACATTTGTCATTAAATTTAATACGCTTTTACTAAAATCAATATATTTTTTAATAATTTTATAAATTTTTAAGATATTTTATATACACTTTTCAATATTAAACAATGTATTAATATTTGCCTTAAAAAAATATACACTACAATAATGGCTCTCCAGTAGTTTTGATTCTATCAAGAAAGTTTGAAAATCAAGGCAGTGGTTCTTTGGGCTTTTATGCTAGCTACAATCATTCCCCATCCCAATCATGGTTTCAATGCTTTAGGACATGGTTTGAAGTCCTTCGAATTTTGAAAAATGCTTGGGAGCACTAATTAGTGCTCCCACTAATTAGGTGACAGTGAATCCCACCATTAATGATGTGATGTTTTGATCTTAGAGTTGTGTTTTTTTTTTTTTTTTTACTTTTTTAATGTATTAGTACTATTAGTGGTGATATTTTTAGTGGCATGAATCATTGTTGTCGAATTTTTTTACATTCTGTAAAAAGAGAATATAAAAGAAAATTGGGTTAATAGGTGAAAAATCTATTCCAATAGCCTATATGTTATTTAATTTAAAGTTTAATCTTTTTTGTGATAAAAACACACGTTAAAAAGTTGTCAATGCAGGAAAAGTTGGCGGTGGCTGGCGGCAACGGCTAGCGGCGGTAGTTGGTAGCAGTGAACAGGGCAAATGGCAAAGCAGACTACTAAAATTGGTTGTCATGATATATAGATTTTCTCAAGAGTAAATACAGTTGCTTAATACTTTGCTCAAATCAAAATTTGATTCACTTCTGACAATAGTTTAGCAGCTAGCAGCCAAATCGTATTCACAGAAACAGAGCATCAAATTGAGTTTAAAACCAAAAACCAAGAAAACCACTCAAAACATTACAAAGTTAACATTGAAGAAATTAAGGAACATGACAGAGAAAACTGTGTTTCTTTCAGAAATTCTAGCCGGGTCAAAACCAATTTGAATAAACTTCTTATGTATTGCAATCGAACTAGGCTGAGCCTTTGCTTCATCAGATACACGACCCATTAATGCCACCGCAAAATGAAATGGATTTTCTCACTTGCATTGCCAACAAATGAAACACTTCGTTTAATACAACTTCTTTAGCTGCTGGCCTCTCAAACCATTCCAAAATGCAGCTGCATTCACTACTTTCTTACCCGGAAGCTGAACCTCCAGTACCTGATTGATCAGTGTTGACAAAGAGCCAATATCAGCAAACATAACAAATGAAATGCATATTCCTCTTACTCGTGATCATAATGAAGTGTATCCTCGTTGAACATGTTTAATGTCCCAAAAAAAAAAAAAAGAAACAAGTTTTGTTTTGTTCATTATTTAGCTGTTGAAAGAAACAAGTCTCCAATTCAAAACATGTTTTAATTTTTATTTTTATCTGGTTGAATAGGTGCCTCTTACAAAATGTGGTACTGAATGCAAGGTTCAAATTCAACTCATTTAGCCCCGGGTTGGCTTTTTAAGTATCTAAAAAAACTTGGACGTTTGGTAATTGCTAAAATTGTTGATTTGTTAGTTTTTGTTAGTGGGAAAGTGGACTTCTTTAGCCCTTTTAGTTATTTTTTAAGCCAAAAACAAACAGGTTTTTTCCTTGTGGCTTATTTAGCTGAAGCCAAACAGGAATTACAAAAAACTTCACAGAACAACTTAAAATGACTACCCACCTCAAGCGCTGTGTGCCTACTGCATGGGAATATCAATGCACCTTTACTGAAAGTCACATTATCAACTTCGAGACCCTGAACATTGTCACTGCTGCAAACTCTTGTAGTAATAATTTTAAGCTCCAGAATATTCTGCTGACCACTTCCGCTGTCGACGGCCACTACTCTAGCTCGGGTCCCCGGCCACCCTGAAAATGCCCGAACCTAAAAGGCTGTATGTCACATTCATGCAGTTGGACCAAGAGAAGTAGAGCGTGTACCTTGTTATGTAGGACTATAGCTTCTTGATCAAAGGACAGCCATGACTCCTCGGGACTAATCTGTGTAAAGCAGTCAATTTTAAAGTTTAATACATGGATATAGACAATCTCAACTCTCCAAATATTAAGTTTCCAGGACCTCATCACTAAAGAAACTCGTACTAACAAGCAAATGTTTATTAAACCTTTGGAGCCAAAGTAGCTTGAGAGTCATCCTGAGGTTGTGCTTTCACCCTTGCTGATCCGTCAAATATAGAGGGAAGCTCATGGATCAGAAGTTTAGATCCTACGTACATTAGGAACAAATCAATAATCACCAAAGCTAACAAACCATAGAATATATTTAGGGATGTAAATCTGGCCGGGCCAGGCCTCGTGGGCTCCTACCAAAATTCGAGCTGGGTCAGGCCGGCCCACGGGCCAAAAAATAAGCCCAAGCCCAAACCTAGGCCCAGGAGTATTCGGGCCGGGGGGCCTAGGCCTGACCTAGCCTCGGACTTGGGCGGGCCTGACCTTTTTTTTTTGTCTTTCTAATTTTTTTTCTACTAAAATTTTATTATTTTTCACTAAAAAAGACAGTGAGCCTCTGGCCGAGCCTTGAGCGGGCGGGGCCCACAGGCCGGGCCTAGCCGGGCTGGGCTTTAAAATGATGGCCCAAGCCCGGGCCCAAGGGCTCAGACTGGGCTCAAGCCTGGGCCTAAACGGGACGAGCCCATCCCGGGCCACGAGCGGGCTTTGGGCCGCCTACGGTTTGTAGGCCATTTTTACACTCCTAAATATATTCTATGAGCTAATAAGGTTATGAATTCCGTATTAAGAGCTGATCAATCATCAACAAAGATAAATTAGCCATAGGATAATTCAAATGAGTCAACTGGCCTATCACTTCTGTATGACAGATCAAACTACCTGAATAGCACATAATAAGGCATGCCTCATGACAAGGACTGCAAACGAACTGAATTGTTCATGAATAGCTCGAGCTCGGCTTGTTTAAAGCTCGTGTGAGCTCGACTCGTTTATTAAATGAACGAATTCGAGCTTAATTTTTAAGCTCGTTTATTAATCGAGCCGAGCTCAAGTAGCCCTAAGCTCGGCTCGACAAGGCTCGTGAACATAAAGACAAATAAATTAATATTTATTTTTAATAATATATTAAATAATTTTTCAATAATCTATTCTATTTTTTATTTATGTTTGGTGTTTGTGTAAATTTACATATTTGATTGATGAAATTTATTATTAATATAAGCATTATTTTATATTTTATACATAATTTTGTATTTTTTTTTTATCTTAATAAGTAAATTAATTTTAATATAATTTTTTTTCAAGCTCGAGCTCGAGCTCGAACTCGGCTCGTTTATATAATTGAGCTCAATTTTTTAAGCTCGAGTTCGAGCTCAACTAATTCTTAATAAACAAGGTTGAACATTCAAAAACTCGGCTCGGCTCGTTTGCAGCCCTACTCATGACAGGCATTAGAGAAAGATAGATTAAAAATTGAGAAATGCCTTTCTAGTCCAACGGCTCTCTGCAGATGAGCATATTTAAATTATGGCCTCTACGGACTAGGAGAAACTAATTTTGGGCATTAACAAAGGATGATGATGATTGGAATAGAAGGTCTAATTAAAATTTGAGTTCATTAATAATAGGGCCCCCAATACTGATAACAAGCAAAAATGACAACTTGTTGCCAAATGGCATCTACTAGGAACAACAAAATTTTAATATGTATAATTGTGTATACATAAATCCTATGAAGCATAGACACTTCCAAGGAGTATGGTCAATCTCAGAGCTGCATACGAATGATACACTACTCGATTCAAGTTGAAAGACCATATGTGTTAAAATTCATCTACTCTCCACCTACTTCACCCACTTAAACCTACTCCACTAAACCTAACCCACTACACCACTAGCACCTCACCTACTCCACTAAACCTAACCCACTACACCACTACCACCTCCACTTCACCTACTCCTTACCTACTACACACTCACCCTCTTCTATATATAGGAATCATGAATCATTGTAATAGATATCAATATATATCAATCAATAATACAATTCTCTCTATTTCTCTATACATAATTAATTCTCTCTATTTCTCTTTATACATTAAATTTCTACAATATGTCTAAACATTTTCCAAAAGTAATTTAAAAGTCATACATGTTAAACTAGACAAGAATGAAATGGACATTTTCGAAGAAAAAAGAAAAAGAAATGTAGTTGTGGAGAACATAAATAAATGTAATACCTACAAAATAGTTAACAACGTATACAATATTCTTGAGCTTCATCTTCTGAGTTGCATGATTCTCAATATAGAAGTTTGAAACCAAGCCAATTACATAACTTTTCCCTATTAAAAGATTATATAAATATAGTAATATGCTGTCATGTACCCTACATGTGTACGTCCAATTTTTTTCAGAATTTTCCATCTCATCATATGTTCTGCTCAAATAAATTCCATCACTACCTAATAAAGTTAATTAACTAGGGGCCAGGGCATTGCTAAAAATTCATAAAAAAAGAGCTACCCCTATGGAAGCAATGTAATGTGACTAAATACTTGAGATGTATAGCGCTAAAGCCGCACAAAAAAAGAGCTATAAATTGCATGAATATTTTCTCTAAAGATATAAAATTTGTAGAGAACAGTGAACAAAGCCACACCTTGAGAAAATAGAAAAGCAAGTAAATCTGGTGCCTGCATCCAGATCACTCAAACGCATCAGTCAGAAGAATTCTTAGAAAGTAGCAAATGCTAGATGTAAGTGGATCAATAGATGTATGGGCTACACATACTTTGTTCCCATATGCATGTTTGACTAATCAGATCTTTATCATCCATTCACAGGGCCAGCAGGAAAATGGACCTAATCTTATTATTCACCCTCAAAACTTCGGATAAAAAGTAATGATTCTAGAGAATCTCATGCATACCTTAATCTGATTATCAACTTCCATTCTTTCACAAGCAATGATAGGTCCAGCATCCAATGCCCGAACGGTGAATGCTAACGATACTCCCGTTTCTTTTACGCCATCCTAGCACAGAATTTATCAATGTGATGGTTGAGATCACAGATGAGATGATGTAGAAGTAGAAGTGAGCACGCAAAACAATAAAAATTGAAATTCTAGCAGGATAAGAAACCTGCAAAGCTCTTTGAACAGGAGCAGCACCACGGTACAGAGGCAGCAGGCTTGGGTGTATGTTGACTGTCCCTGGAAGATTACATTGGAACATTAAGTGGTGTAATATCAGATTCTCAACTCAGGTTTTAGGATTTTGGTTTAACATAAATTTTTAATCAATTCAAACCAAGTCAAATTTTAACTGATATCAAAACTTTCTAATTATTTCTTTAGTTTTATTAAAACATTGTAAAGCATTTCCTAATATAGCAATTCTTAAAGCTTCTCTACACATAAGTATAACCAAGATTGCTGGTCACCCTAATTCTAATGATTGAACAACACACTTTCCCTCATTATTTGTAGTTTTCAAATCCATCCAACATTGTGATGCATTTCCCTCATTATTTGTAGGTATTTTCTCTCTATATATATATATTTTATTGATATGTTTCAAGGATATCAGCACATAAACATGGTGAGCATTTTTCAAAAGGTGTGCATGTGATGCTTACCACCTAGTGGACCTGTGGCCAAGACTCTGGGAAAATACCTAACAACTCAACTTTAGAGGCTCACAAGAGACAACTTAACATGTGACGTTTGTATGCAGTGCAAACATATTGGCCAAAAACCTACATATCTTTGAGTAATGAAATAATCACATTGAAAATTTGGTTATAAGTAATTCTTTATAAAATTTAAATCCTGGCAAATTTAAAATTCTTTGGTTTGCTTTATAAAACAAGTGAGCAGAACACAATTTCAAGATTAAACTGTTAATAAGAAAATGGGCATTTATTCACAAACCTACTAGGACATGATTCACTTGGTGAGCCTGAAAGCATAGAATCTTAAATGTGATTTTGTTAAGAAGATGCATTATTTAAATAAATAAACAAAAAGAGATTATCTTTTGCTAACCCAATGGAGGAATCTTGAGAAATTTGTTAGGTAAAATATTCCCGTATGCTGCTGTAATGCAAAGCTCTGGCTGCAGAGCTTTTAAATTGGACAAGAATGTTTCCTGAACAAAATAAAATAAAAAATGAATTCTCTTCATGCAAACAGTCAATGTCTCTGTAAAAATTTCATATGATAATCGCATTGATACAATGAAAGGACTGAATACCCTACGGAACAACATCATATATGCATGGTAGTAGGTAAACTCCCCCAGAAAAGATTTCACTTGAAATGAGAAACAAAAATAAAACCTTCTGGGCAAAGAAGAAGATATCAACAACAAACAGGCACATATGTCACATAATATGAAACCCACTTGACAGGTTGACCTCTAATCGAATAGCAATGTGCAAAATCACCAAGAATCATACACATAGGGTTCAAAAATTAACCAAATAATAAATTATTTTAAGAAATGGATATACATATGAACACCTCTTAATTGGGGTACAAATTCAACAATTTAGTCCCCTATGCATCTCCAAATTTTCCCCAAAAAAGCATTGATACATAAATGATTGCAAAGGAATCAAACTACAAAATTCCATTGCTGGTAAATAGTTTGTGCTGCAGCACACAAGATTTGAAGACCATCGAAAATTTCCATAAAAAGAGAGACCTTTATATGGACTAACAGAAATTGAAATCACACATTATAGTATGAGAAGAAGTAACTCACAGAACTCCTACAACATGCAAGAATCTGCACCGCATAACCAGTATCCTGCTATAGATAAGAATTTTTTACGTGTGTAACTCAAATTGCATAAATTAGAGGTTCATGCCTGCCTTAATAGCTCAATCACAGCATTAAGCTACAATCCTAATATATAGTAAAAATTTTAGTCTTAATGGTGGAACATGTGTTGAAGTATGGAGAGTTCTGTTCTTTATGAAGTTTGCATAGAATCCAGTGCATTTATCAAAGCATTTCACCATGTCAAGGCAATGATTTCACAGAGTTGCTAAAGTGATATCATAACTGTAAGATTCTTGAAAGTTTTTCTGTATACTCAATTGTGTTTCAATACAATGTGTACATCTGATATATATATATAGCAATTCTAAACCTAATCCTAAATAGGAAACAATAGACCTAATCCAAACTAGGAAACAATATTCACAAAATAAACCTAAACTAATATTATTCTCACACCCCCGCTCAAACTTAAGGTGTTTGGGCAGAAAACACTGAGAGTTTACCAAGAAGAAACTGAAACCGAGCAGTGGTGTGAGTCTTGGTAAAGAAGTCAGCAAGCTGTAGAGCTGAAGAGACGAAAGGAAATGAGATAGAACCAAACTGCAGATGCTGATGAACAAAGTGACAATCAATCTCAATGTGCTTGGTCCGCTCATGGAAGACAGTGTTATGTGCAATCTGAATAGCACTGCGGTTGTCACAATAGAAGGAGGTTGGAGACGACTGAGGGACACCCAACTCAGTCAAGAGACAACGAAGCTAAACAATCTCGGCAGTGGCATGAGTCATAGCATGGTATTCAGCCTCGGCAGTGGAACGTGCAACAACAGTCTGTTTCTTTGCCTTCCAAGAGATCAAGGAATCACCAAGAAACATGCAGAAGCCAGAAGTGGACTTGCGATCAGTGACATCACTAGCTCAATCAGAATCAGCATAAGCCACTAAGTCCAAAGAGGAAGTAGAAGACAACAATAAGACTTGAAATATAGTACCTCGGAGATAGCGACGAATCCGAACCAAAGCAGCCCAATGGGTAGAGCGAGAAGCAGAGGCAAACTGGCTAACCACATGAACAGCATAAGCAAGATCAAGACGAGTAACCGTCAGATAGACTAAGCACCCCACGAGCTCGCGATATAAAGTAAGATCATCTAGAAGAACACAATCAGTAGTGTTAAGCTTTACATTAAACTCAATGGCAGTATCAGAAATCTTAGTGTCAGTAAGACCCGCACGATGAATAACCTCGTTGGCATACTTAGCCTGAGATAAAAAGTAGCCCTTGGGAGAAGAAGCTACCTTAATATCAAGAAAATACCGCAATGGACCCAGATCCTTCATTTTAAAGGTGCGGAAAATATGTTGCTTGACCTCAGATATAGCAGAAGAGTCCGAACCAGTGATGATCGTATCATTCACATACTGTAATAATGCAACAAAGCCAGTAGAGGTGTGAAGAAGAAATAAAGCAGAGTCCTAAGCACAAGGATGAAACCCAAGCTCATAACAACAGTCTGAAAGCGATCATACCAATCACGAGGAGACTACTTCAGACCATATAGAGCACGCCAAAGGCGACAAAGCTGTCCAGAGGAATGGTGAAGGCCACGGGGAGGATGCATGTAAACCTCCTCAGTAAGATGATTATTAAGAAAAGCATTCTTAACATCCATCTGATAAAGAGGCCAAGAACGAATAGCAGCGACAAAAATCAAAGTACAAACAATAGTCATCTTGGCAACAGGAGCAAAAGTCTCCTCATAATCAATACCATATTCCTATGAGAAACCTTTGGTAACCAAACAAGCTTTGTAGCACTTAAGAGAACCATCAGAATGAGTCTTGACTTTGTATACCTATTTGCAACCAACCAGATTCTTACCAGCAGGCAAAGGAACCAACTCCCAAGTACTAGTTTTCTGTATAGCAGACAATTCATCCTCTGTAGGGTGAACCCAATGAGGATCCTGACAGGGCTCCTTATAAGACTGAGGTTCTGAAAAAAAGTGAATAGCAGACAAAAAAGTACGATAGGAAACAGAAAAACATGTATTAGACCAACCCAACCTGTTTTGAAGATGACGCGCTCGAGTAAGATATCAGTGTGTAGTAGGATCAGAGTCGTCAGAAACAGGAGGATCAGCAGCAGGGGTAGAGACAACCGGTGGAGGAGGAACATTGCGACGAGAATAAACTAACAACGGAGGAGGAGGAGAAATCAAAGGAGAAGCAGCCAGAGGTAAAGCAGGAGGAGAAGATGGAACAAGCTCAGGGGGAACTGTGATATGAACTCATCAGACAGGACCTCAGAAGGAAACGGATCAATATGAGCCAAATCCTCTTTGGAAACTGGAGCGGTGAAAGGAGAAAGCTAAAAGTAAGGTAGACGTTCAAGAAAAGTAACATGGCAAGAGAGAAAAAGACGACGGAAAATAAGGTCATAGCAGCGATAACTTTTCTGAGTGAGGCTATAACCCAAAAAGACACATAAGACAGACTGGACACTAAGTTTGGTCCTATCTTTACGGGGTAATAGGAGAAAACAAGCAGACACAAACACACAAAGGAGAGGGTAATTGAGAAGTTGAGAAAACAAAGCCTCATAAGGAGACCGATCAGAAAGAAGGGGTTTGGGCATATGGTTGAGAAGAAAAATAGCAGTAAGAACTGCCTCACCCCAAAACGAAGTCGGAACGGAGGCAAAGAAAAGGAGAGACCCAACTGTCTCAAGAAGATGACCGTGTTTACGCTTAACTTGACCATTTTGGACAGGTGTATCAGTACAAGAAGTTTGGTGAATGGTACCCAATTTGGCCAAATAGTCACAGAATTCAGTTTTAAAGTATTCCCCGCCCAAGTTAAACCGCAACAATTTAATAGTAGACCCAAACTGTGTAGTGACCATAGACTAGAAAGTACGGTATATTTGGTAGAAGTCAGACTTATGAGTCATAAGATAAACCCAAGTGTAACGAGTGTAGTCATCAACAAATGACACATAATAGGCAGAACTCCCTTTGGTGAGAACAAGAGAAGGGCCCCAAACATCAGTATAAACTAAAGAAAACGGTGTATCAGATATAGAAGTACTTGTACGAAAAGGTAAGACTGTCATTTTGGCAAGTTTACACCCCTGACATTCAGTAAGTTCACTAGGAGAAACTTTACTCAATATACTTGACTGAGCTAAAGACCATAAGCGGTTAGCAGACAAGTGCCCTAATCTAGAATGCCACAAGTAAAAAGGACTGGACATAGAATCTAACTGAAAAGAGAAAAAAGCAGTAGAAGAGGTCCTCATAGGCAGATGCAAGCTCTCTACCACATAGAGGTCTCCAACTTTATGGCCAGTCCCAATCTGTTGCTTGGACATCCGATCCTACACAGAATAAATTGAAGAAGAAAATAAAACATCAAAACCGGAGGCATCAAGCTGACTGATAGATAATAAATTGACAGATAACTGAGAAACATAAAGGACAGATGGAATAGAGACAACAGACATAGCAGACGGTAAGATAGGCCTAACAAATATAACAAACATACCAGACCCATTAGCGGCATTAACAGTAATATGAGAGGAAGGAGGAGTACAATTTTGAAGTAAGAAGAAATGGGGAGTCATATGATAAGAGACATCAGAGTCAAAAATCCAGACAGACGAAGAGATACCTGAAGAAGTCCCAAGCAAGCCTGAATGAAGAAAGGAAACAATGGAGACAAATGGGAATGGTTGTGGGGTAGACAATGTATGCTGAAACTGACTAATCTGAGCACTCAATAAAGCCAAGTCAAGATCAGGAGCTGGAACAGATACAGTAAAATTAATGGGAGCTTGAAAATTACTCGGAGAAGAAGGGCAAAACTAGTTCCGAGATTGCTGAGAAAACGAGCCAGTCAGACAGACATCCCTTCTTGGAACAGTGATACTTCCAATGACTCCTCTGATGACAGAAGGCACACTCATCTGATGCCAATGGCTCTTTTTTGGGCTTTCCAGAAGGCTAAACCTGATGGGTATCTAGCATCGTAATGAGCCAAAACAAAATAGATAATTGATGGAGCAAAGTGTAATAAACAACGATTGGATAGGCCAAATTGTAATAAGCCAAACAGATGTGACCAAACCAACCAACCACGAAGCAGAAGAGAACTCTAGATGAGAGAGAGAGAGTGAGAGAGAGCAGACTTTGCGAAGGAGAGAGCAAGAAACAAGAGCTCTCACTATCATGATCGTGATCAGGCCCAGAAGCAGACGATGCGATTTCGGCGATAACACGTGATTTTGAACCAGAGCCTTACGAAGATGAGTCGAATCTAGAAGAACCAGCGATGTCGCGAACCAAAGAGAGAACCAGCGATGTCGCGAACCAAAGAGAGAACCAGCGACGTCACGAACCAAAGAGAGAGGTGGGAGTCAGCAAAGGCAAAGAGAGAGAGATGCAAACCAAAGATCACACTCGACTTTGACTTTCAGATTCAAAGTCGAAGTCCGAGAGCAGAAGCTGATGGAGAACCAAATGGGTCGTCGAATCAACTTCGAACCAGTCGACGACTTCAAGCCAAATGAAGAACCAGACAGAGAGACCAGATTTTGCAAAACCCTAGCCACCACGAGATCAACGATCGTGTTGCTCTGATACCATGTAAGATTCCTGAAAGCTTTTCTGTATATTCAATTGTGTTTCAATACAATATGTACATCTAAAATATATAGCAATTCTAAACCTAATCCTAAATAGGAAACAATAGGCCTAATCCAAAATAGGAAATAATATTCACAGAATAAACCTAAACCATACCTAAACTAATATTATTCTCACAGTAACATGTGATGATACTATGATAATGGCATCATTTTGCAATAAACCGGCACAAAACTCTCATATTATTTATTTATTTTTTTATGAGTAAACAAAACTCTCCTATAATGCCATACGCTCCATATGTATTAATTGCAATTGCAAGTTTTAGAAAATCAACAACCTTACAAGTATATTCACTCATTTTAAATTCAAAGAAAATAGCTAGTGAAATTATATAGGAAGAAAAAAACAAAAAGAACAACCAGAAAAGGAGAACCAGTCAAGCCCAATAAGCATTCGGTTATATGAAATGATGGGTTCATTAGCACATAACAATCCTTCCTAGCTAGTAAATTAATAGAAAATAAAGTCCGAAAGCAGGAATTTTCATGTGCACAGACCAATGAAGACATATCACCCAGAAACCATTATTACCTCACCAGCTCTTTCAGGTGTGAAAATCAAATCAGAAGGAAAGCTTCTATCAAGAGCATGCTGTGCAACTGGTGAAGGCATCACCTTTCTTCCTCGGTCTCTTCCAGAAGGAGGTTGAGTAACAATTGCAGCAACCTAAATATATCAATTACCAAGCCCAGTCATATGTTCTCATTATGCCCAAGAACAACTTCCAAATTATCTCAAATTAAATACTAACAATTTTGCATTATTTATTTTGCTAGCACAGTTGGCTCGATTTTTACATTATTTATAATTGTGTCAATTTGATCTAATTGATTACAATTGTTAGTGTTTTTTGATGAAAAATGCACACATGAGCTGCGTGTGTAATGTTTTTATAAGCAAAATTGTAAACTCATTCAATTGAATGAGTTATCTCAATTCCCAACAAACTTTAGCGACCATTTTCCTTCAAAAATCTTAATCAGCGTTAAAATTAATGGTCAAAATTGAGCTAATTGAAATTAAATGACCAAAATGACACAAGGTGCAACATATGCAGGGACCTAGAAGCTGATACTGTACATTTATAGTTAAAAGCTACAACTTTTATAGGTGAAATCAAAACTGCAAGCAATACAAATCTTTTAATCTTTCAAATCCCAACTAAAACAAAATATTAAAAATCATAATAAATATATAAAAAAATAAAAATGAAGAAAAGAAGGCCAATTCAGTACTTAGCATTGATTAAAATGAAGGGAGTTGATAAAAATCAATAATTGAGTACCTCAAATAAAGAGCCTGGGGCAGAAGATGCATTGAAAAGAGCATCAAGAACAGAAGCAGAGACCTGAATAGTGAACCATATTGCATCAATTACAAGTATGTGTGTGTATATATATATATATAGAAAGAGAGAGAGAGGAGTACTTGAGGAGAACCGAGGAAGACGAGTTGCTTCTTTTGAGTAGAAGAGTTGGCAGAGGAAGACAAACAGTGGGTTGCGTTGAAACAGCAAAAGCGTCGAACCATTAGTGAAGACGATAATAAGTACATTCCTTTTTTTCTTGTTCGACTCAAAGCCTCTGCTGGATACCGAATCTATTTCATCTCCTGCTACAATTTACACAGCTTTTTCTACTCCGGAAGGGGAACAACTGGCGTGTGTGGGTTCGGTGTGCTTAACCCAAGGAGTTTGGTTTGGTTTGGTTTGGTTAGGTTAGTGTATAATTTCTACATTTTAAAAAATAAAAATTTTATTTATTTATTTATTTATGAAAAATTTATCCATAAATCTTATTTTCTGAAAAGTTAAACCATTTAGTCCTAAAAGTTTTCTTATGGACCATTTAGTCCCATTTTTTTTGGTGATGTTATTTATTTAATTTTGATTATTTTGCAAATTACAATAGTACCCCTTTTGTGAAAGGTTTGTTTTCTAAATATCTGCAACATCATTCATCGAAACAACATCAACTACACCATTATCATCTACAATATCCGACGATTATTATTAAGAACGAGGTACCAGAACATATAAACCAGTATTCCACTACTTCAACACAGATGATTTACCAAACATCACCAGATCATCATCATTAGAATAGTGATTCGTTATCAAACATTACAACATCAAACTGGATCATCAACATCACAACACCATCAAACATCACAACATCATCAACATCAGAATAGTGATTCGTTGTCAAACATCACAACATTGAACATAAGATTTCAAATAGTGATGATGTTGAACATCATGTGCCAAGTGAAAGTCACTATTTTGTTGAATATTGAACATCAGATTTCAAACATTGATGATGTTGAACATTGAACATTAGATTTCAAACATTGATGATGTTGAACATCAGATTTCAAACATTGAACATCGTCGACATCAACTGAGAGCCTCCACACCGACATCAACTGAGAGCCTCCAACATTGATCATACATCACCAACATTGAACATCATGTGCCAAGTGAAAGTCATAGCGCTGATGGGGTTCTCGTCGCCAGAGATCGAGAACCGAGACTTGACGGCGCATAGGGCTTTGTAGTAACTTTGAAGGAGGTTTGCGGCGGGACGTGAAGGAGTCGACGGTGGCACGTTCGAGATAGGATCGCAGTTGCTTTAGGGTTTGGAGATCGGATCGCAGTTGCGGCTCGATTCAAATCGCTTCAATGGTACGGTTCCGCCTCTAAACCAACCCTTTCTCACGATCTTCAACGTGTCGATTAAACAACCTCACCAGAGCAATACCGGTCACGCCAACTTCGCGATTCAGCATTTCTTCGTTCTCTTGGAAGCCTAACGCCTTAAAGATTTTGGCATAAACGTAAATTACACAATGTGAAAACCCAGATATGGCCTGGCCATAACTTCCTCACGCGATGTAATGCGACTAATTTGGTCATTAACATTGGAATAGGACCTAACGGTTCATAAGAAAATTAATAGGACCAAATGGGTTACAAGATACAAATTTAGGATTTATCGTGCATTCCCCTTTATTTATTTTGAAAGTAAAATTTAATTGGGTAAATTACATTGACACCCCTGAAGTTTATGTTTATTACAATTTTTCCCTCACCTTTTGAAAATTACATCCCCTCCCTAAGGTTTAAAGTTTCATTGCAGATTGCTCCCTTTAGCCATTTAATTTTTTTAAATACCAATTTTGCCCTCACTAGGTAAATTACATTGACACCCCTCACATTTTAGAAATTACAATCCCCTCCCCAAGGTTTAAAGTAGCATTACCAATTGCCCCATCGGTTAGTATTAGTTGAAGAAAAAAACTCATCGAAAAAAAAAATTAATTGAAAAAAAAATTGTTGGTCAAATTTTAAAATTTCTATTTAGAAACTAACGTAAACTCATTTTTTAAATTTACGTTTTTTTCTAAAATTTACAAACTGAGACAACCATTTATAAATAAAAAACATTATTAAACAAGTTTTTATGACAATTTTTTCAATTTTTGTAAATATAAATTGAAAACTGAAAACGAAATGGTTACCAAACAGGTCTCAAATGATAAAAATGTCGTAAAATTAACGAATAATTAAATAAGTTACCAACGTAAGAAATGACATATCAAAATATTCTTAGGTTATGTATGATTTGATTTTTAAAAAAATTAAAAATTAATTTGGTTAAGAAATAAAAAATAAAAAATAATTATGCAGAGGAAGACAAACAATGGGTTGCGGTGAAACAGCAAAAGCGTCGAAGCATTAGTGTAGACGATAACAAGTACATTCCTTTTTTTCTTGTTCGACTCAAAGCCTCTGCTGGCTACCGAATCTATTTCATCTCCTGCTACAATTTACACAGCTTTTTCTACTCAGGAAGAGGAACAACCGGTGTGTGAGGGTTCGGGGTGCTTAACCCAAGGAGTTTGGTTTGGCTTGGTTTGGTTTGGTTAGGTTAGTGTGTAATTTCTACATTTTAAAAAATAAAAAATTTAATTATTTATTTATTTATTTTGAAAGTAAAATTTAATTGGGTAAATTACATTGACACCCCTGAAGTTTATGTTTATTACAATTTCCCTCTTACCTTTTGGAAATTACATCCCCTCCCTAAGGTTTAAAGTTTCATTGCAGATTGCTCCCTCCAGCCATTTAATTTTTTTAAATACCAATTTTGCCCTCACTAGATAAATTATATTGACACCCCTCACATTTTAGAAATTACAATCCACTCCCCAATGTTTAAAGTAGTATTATCAATTGCCCCATCGGTTAGTATTAGTTGAAAAAAAAAATTAATTGAAAAAAAATTTGTTAGTCAAATTTTTAAATTTCTGTTTAAAAACTTACATAAACTCATTTTTAAAATTTACGTTTTTTTCTCAAATTTACAAACTGAGACAACCATTTATAAATCAAAAAAATTATTAAACAAGTTTTTATGACAGTTTTTTCAATTTTTGTAAATATAAATTGAAAACTGAAAACGAAATGATTACCAAACAGGTCTCAAATGGTAAAAATGTCGTAAAATTAACGAATAATTAGATAAATTACCAACGTAAGAAATGACTTATCAAAATATTCTTAGGTTATGTATGGTTTGATTTTTTAAAAAAATTAAAAATTAATTTGGTTAAGAAATAAAAAATAAAAAACAATTATCATTTTTATATAATTTTTATCGTTCGAGTGTAATAAACATAAACCTCAGGGGGTATCAGTGTAATTTTTATCTTATGTTGGTTTTTAAACAAAAATTTAAAAATTTGACTAACAAAATTTTTTTTCAATTAATTTTTTTTTTAATGAAATTTTTTTTCAACTAATACTAACCAATGAAACAATTGGTAATGCTACTTTAAAACTTAAAGAGGGGATTGTAACTTTTAAAATATAAGGGGTATCAATGTAATTAATCTAGTGAGGGCAAAATTAGTATTTAAAAAAATTAAATTGCTAGAGAGAGCAATCTGTAATGAAACTTTAAACCTCAGTGAGGGGCATGTAATTTCCAAAAGGTGAGGGAGAAACTGTATTATAGAAATCTTAAGGGATGTCAATGTAATTTACCCAATTTAATTTTGTTCCTCCTCCTCCCTACTGGACATAGGGTTGCCGTTGTGCCTGGTGTAAGGCGATGTAAGAAATTTTAATTTAAACTGTTTATATAATATGATTCGTTGAACATGTTATTTATTTAAAAATTAAGTTAATTTGTAGTTCCATGATCATGTCATAATTATTTTTTAAAAATTATCAAAATTTTATTAATGATTTATTTTTTAAAAAACAAATGTGATCTTGGTATAGAGCTACACATATCTACCGAATTTGATTTTTTTACATGAATAATTTACGTGATAAACTTATAATATGAACGATTCAGATTATTGAAAAACTCAAAACAATCGCCCACGTAAACTCACAATAAAAACCACAACTTGCTTACCTTTCGCCAGTATCAACAGTATCACTACCATCATCACAGTTGCTTTTGCTACCTCCACCACCCAGCATTATGACAATCTCAACCACATCATTTTTAAGGTCATAATTAAATATAGCAAACATTTTTAATGAAAAAAAATTCTATAATTTTTTTTAAAAAAAATTCCACCAAACAAATGGAATGCCTAATTTCATTTGGTATTATCTTCATATTTAGGGTTTTATTTTTAATTTTTCTTTTATGAAAAAAATTGGTGAAACGTTTATTTTTATAAGTATGCATCGCGTCAGGTCTAATAATTGTTTTGTTTGGAGTGACAAATTATTTTCGTGAAGGATAAATTATTTTCATTTTTACTCAATTGTCATCGAACTATTAGCCACTGAAAAAGTCGTCAATACTGAATAATAAATAAACAAATAGATAACACGTGAATAGATAAATAGCATGCTCAGATAGACAAATTAATAAGAATAATACGATCTTTCAAATTATTATTGTCATGACACAAAAAATTAAGGGCAAATTTCACTTTACCTCCCTGACATTCGGAAATCACCACATAACTCCCTTATGGTAGATGGACTAAAACACACCGTTAGCTTTTCTGTCTAAAATAACAGAATGTGAAAGTCACGCGCCTCTATAGAAAGTGAGTCCATTTTTATGACAAAAATACGCTTTCTACCTCTTCAAATTTACAAAAGATGCCATTAAATGAGATTGCATATGTATAAACTGAAACTGGTTCAATATTTCTCGCCAAATCACTCAATTAATTATATTCATCAAATAAAGAAATCATAGAATTTAGATCAAACTATTTTTCATCTTCTTTTTTTTTTTTCTGAGTAGAAGTTTATAGATCTGGATATTTTATATATATATATATATATATACAACCCAATCAATTTTTTTTTTAGTTTTATAACTTCTGAATCAAACTATATATATATACAACCCAATCAATTTTTTTTTTTTTAATTTTATAACTTGTGAATCAAACCTACTGACACAGGGCATTTGTGTCATTAGTGAAATTGAAAAGTTCAAACAAGGAGCCTGAAACTGAGGAAACCCAGAATTCCCATTTTAGAGGTTCATTTGAATGTGCATTTGTTTTGAAAATTGAAGCTTGTGTAAATGAGTTTTTGAATGAATGGAGATATGAAGAAACGTGCAGATCTAGAGAGAGAGGAATGGGGATTTACATGACTAGGGTTTTAAAAGGAGCTGGCTAAAGAAGAAGGAGAGGAGAG